AAGATTTGCTGCCAGACTAGTCTTTGAGCTGTGGCAGGATGGAAAAAAACACAGAGAACACTTTATCCGCATCCTGTACAATGGTGTTGATGTCACATTTCAGACCTCATTTTGTCAGGATCATAACATGCATTCCAGCAAGCCTGCGTGTCCTCTAGAAAAATTTGTTCATTTTGTCAAAAGGGACATGTTTTCTGTTTTTAATAGTACTAATTACTATGACGCATGTCACAGGAGACCACTGTAAATGGAAGGTGAGAGAAAGAAGTGTGAATTTGTGTAATGACGTGAGGTCTGTGTACCTGAGTACTTTTTTTAAAAAAAAATTCTACCACAACAGTAAAGGGCCTGATATACATTGAGAAATTAAGTGGGCTACTATAAACTGGATATTGCTTGATAGAGCGTGAAATTTTGGGTTTAGTTGCTCTCTTATTCCAGATCAGATCAGTATGTGGAAAACTTGAATTCCAGTTTAAAAAGAAAGCATGCTTTCTCCACTGTAACTTGTCAGTTGTTTTACCAAATAAGCAGCAAATTTTATCTAAAGTATTTGATTTCCCTGAATCTGTATTACAACTGTACTAAATAATTCCTGAAATTAACAACCTTACCTCTGTCAGCATGGAAATATTAAGGGACAGGTTTCTGGTTTTGTTTTTCAGAAGTTCATGCATTGTGCATGCTTTATTTGGCTGGGTGCAAATGCACACTTTTTTTTGTACACAGACCTCTGAAAATGTAATGTGTTAGGTCCATCACATGGGTGAGCCCAATAAACAGATCTAAAATTCTATTCATTGGTTGCACTTCCAGCACTTTCAGAAATAGTTTTAACACACACTAGAAATGATTGCAATCTTGTGACTGTCATTTGAAACAAAAAGTAAATGCTAATGTTACCGCTAAATGTGAGTGGAAAATTAGAAGTATAAATCAGCTAGTCTTATGGTAAAACGTTGGGCTCTTTTCCATTGTTAAATATGTTCAAGCTGCTAGATGGTGGTACAAATAAATGTGTTAACTGTTTGATGTGGTGACTGTGTGAGGTAGCAGACAGACAGTTTGACTGAAGACTCAGAACTTTTGTAGTTGGGTTAGTATTTTTTATAGACTAGGAAGATATTATTTTATAAGGTTAGTCTTGTACCTACTGTATTGTGTACACTTCTAGAACACTAAATCTTTCTTATTTGCTTGGTTTGCAAAGGGTTGCAAAAAGCCAATTTTTAGATGTTTTTCCTTGATCAGAATATACAGACTTAGGAACAGCCTAGCTTTATGGATAATTTCAGCAACCATGATAGATATGAAAAACTCCATTTTCAGCTGCTTTCATCTCCTATACATATTCAATTTAGATCTAATTTTTAAGACAAGTATTTGAAAAGACTTTCATTACTAGAATATTAAATTTTATAATGGTGGGTGTTTTTTACATGTCAAGAAATCACTATGATTTAGTCTGTGATTTTATGATTCAGTGGTGCTAGTTAATTAGAGGAAACGTACCTGAACATGTGACGCTCTAACTCTTTTATCATTCCAGTCTCTCTTTGTTTCCAAATGCTACATTTGAACATGTTTCTATAAATAAAATTTTGGAGACTATTCGTATGCTTGCGTGTTCCATCTTACTTTTCTTTACTATGTCCAGTGTTTAAACCTTGTTTTCCAATCTGATTTTTGGCATCAATTTTCATATTCCATCAGTAGTGTATTTAAAATATTGTTCTGGTTTCTTGCTATGTTACTATTAAACACGTTGTAGAGGCTGGTAAACATGTTGTAAAGACTTAAAGGTATAAAGCTTATGGATTTTATATTATTCTGAGAGAATGTATAGATGTACAAGGAACTAGCTGTATATTGCTGATGTAATATGAGAAGAGTGTCACATAGGTAGGTTTGAACAAATGGTTTGTTTTCTATAATAATCTCCTTAGCATCTTTCCAGCCTGAATTTGACTGATGACCTCTGTACCTTTCCAGCTGGGGGAATTACACTATTTAGTTCTTGAAGTTTAGCATCCTTTTCCAAAGCCACATCAGATGGGCTTGTGCACATATGATGCAGCACTGGCACCAGAGAAGCATTTTACTTTTTTCTCTCAAATTCTTGTTGGCTTCTTTTGTAATATGCTGACCCTGTCATAAGTGCCATGCCTTGGAGTAGGTGAAAAGGTAGATTTCCCCAATGTGAGAGGGAAGAGAATAGCAGAATAGTCTGTGGCTTTGGTGAGCTCATGAAACTAGGTATTAGTGCTCCTTTCCAGACCTGTAGACAGGGTTTAGTTAGGGGAAGACAGTTGGGCACCATGATGATTGTCAAAGATAGCTAGGACACTACACTGGAGCCCTGCTTGGCAATAGGTGTCAAAGTAAAAATCAAGGCTGGCTGATAGCTTAGCCTGGATGACTGATCACAAGTGCCAGTGTAACCACTGTAGGGTCCATGTAGGACTCCAGCCTCTGGATTCTAAATCTGTGCCTCCAGAATTTTTCCAGTCAGAAGATGGCCTCAGGGCAAAGCCAAGCCCCAAGAGTGGTGCAGTTTTCATGCAACAAGAGAGTGCTTCCTCTAATTCAGTCACTTAAGGTAACTAAATATAAAACTGAAGACTACAGTTGTATAAGGGGTTCAAAGCAATGGCTTGGATAGAAGGAACCAATGGGTTAAGAGTTTCCTCAAATGTGTTGAAGCTTTGGAACAGGATTCCATGCCTAAACACTGGGGGAACACTTATGTGTGTGAATGTCTGGAGGTGGCTCCTAAGTAACCAGTGCTATGGGTAGGTAACATTTTTGTCTCTTTGAATCAGCCTTTTCTCCTCTCCAACTGCTTCTGTGCCTCTCATGCTCAGTGCTGGCCATGTATTCTCTTCCATCCCTATTATGATTCTTTTGCTGCTGTGTCCTTCCTTTCTCATACTCCCTTTTCATACTTTCTAAAAGCACTTCTAAAATTGGGTTCAAGTTTCTTCCAGTTGGGCATACACAGTAATAAGTGGGTGCTTGCAAAAAAAATTGCCCATCACTTTTTGCATTGAATCATAGAAAATTAGGGTTGGAAGGGACCTCAGGAGATCATCTAGTCCAACCCCCTGTTCAAAGAAGGACCACCCCCAACTACATCATCCTAGCCTGGGCTTTAAGTCAGGCCTTAAAAACCTCCAAGGATGAAGATTCTACCACCTATCTAGGTAACCTGTTCCAGTGCTTCACCCAGTGAGAGTTTTTCCTACTATTCAACCTAAACTTCCCTTGCTGCAACTTGAGATCTGCCACCACTGAGAACAGTCTAGCTCTATTGGCGGCGGTCCCTCAAAGTTGAGGATGATGTCCATCAGGCTTGATGGGTCTTCAGGTGACTGAGGAGCCTGATTCTGGATGCACACGTTCTTCAGCAATGGGGTCATGTTGCACATGGGAGTGGGAAGGTTGGTGTCCTTCCTCCACCACCGCCGTTCCACCTTGGTATTGGGTCATTGGGCCTCAAAGCGGTGCGGGCCTTGGTGGACCAGGTGGCGCCATGCCCAAGGTTCAGCAGCTTGTTCCTCCCAGCCATTGGTGTCAATGCCTCCATGCTTGAAGATGACCTTGAGTATGTCTCTGTACCGTTTCCTTTGGCCACTATAACCTCCCATGCCGCTCACTAGCATGTTTTGCTCTTACAGGTTTTTCAGGTGCTGCTGTCCCCTTAGTGGTTGACAGCTTGTCATTTGGTCAGATGTCTGGGATGGTCCCCAGGGGTTCTTTCCTGCCACGTCCTGTTGGAATAAGGTTGTGATTGGGAGGATGGTTTTACGTCTTGCCTTTCCTGGTTCCCTTCTTCAATCTTCCCATCCAGCTTCCCATTTTGGGACTCCGCCTCCCCTACACACTGCCTTACACCAATCACGGATGTTAATTCTAGACCACAACTAGGACTTGTCACGGTAAAGGTTTTGTTTTGCCTTTTATAAGTTAAAAAAGTCAAGTTCAGATGGTGTGCTGTCCAGATTTAGGCTGTATGTTAACTGGCCTGCAGTTTTTACCAGCTCTGGGTTACCTTGCTTCCTAATATCCTCCTGTCTCCCTCTGGCTTGCATCTGCTGCAGCCCAAGGATCCTTCTCTCTCTCTCTTCTCAGGTTCACTGTTATCCCATTCCTGACCGGCTGTATCTGAGATCCAGTGCTGTGTTTCAGGTAAGTATCTAGGCCCTTCTGGGCTTAACTTATCTCTGTCTGCCCCCTCCTGGGACTGCCACCAACATTCCCTTAGTGGGGCTACAAACTTCTCTGGGCCCACTGGAGGACTTACTTCTGGGCCTTGATGATTTTCGTCCAGAGGGGTTTTTATGCCCCCTCCAGGGGGCCGGCTGGCAAATTGGCACCAACATGCTGCCATAAAGCGGGTCCATGCCAGTGCCAGTGCGGGCCCTGGCTCTCCCCTGGCCCATTGTAACTTTTCTTCTTCTGTCTTTGGCGTGGCGATTTTTTTTTTTTTTCACCACAGCCACATTCCAGCTGCTCCTCCAGTCTTCAGCAGTGTCCCATCGGTTCCACACCCCTCTGTCTTCTGGTAAGTTTCTCTTCGCGGCATTGTCCTCAGCACACATCCCCTTATTTAAGTTGCCTTCTGGCATAGGAGTATCTCTGTTTTAGTCATCAATGGCCTTGATGTCTGTCCTGGATGGGTTTGCCACCATCATATCTGTCTCATTACATTTGGACAAGAAATCCACGACCTTGTTGGTTACCCCAGGCCTGTAACTAACAAATAATTTAAAGGGCTGTAAGGACAAAGCCTATCACGTTATTTGGGCATTATCATTCTTTGTCTTATTTCACCATTGTAATGGAGCAAGATCAGTCACTAATTTAAACTCTCTTCCAATCAAATAATAACAAAAATAATTGACTGCACATTTTATCGCCAAACATTCCCTTTCAATAGTGGAATACCTTTTCTCGGTTGTGTTTAGCTTTTTGCTGGTGAAGGTGATTGATCACTGCATGCCCTCATGTCCTTGGCATAACATGGCTACTGTGGCTGTCTCAGATGCATCTATCTGTAGGATAAACATTTTGGAAAAATCAGGTGTTATGACTAACACGTCACTGCACAGAGCAGTGTGCATTCCCAAGAGACGTGACTTGACCTTCCACATCTATAACATAGTACCTCTCTTCTCGAGTACCTGGGTGGCCCTTGCCACAGCTGTTTGTCCCTTTTGGTATTGGCTCCCATGCTCCTGTACCCCTTTTCTTTGGGGTGTTCCACTTCTGATGCTGCAAAAGCCTGAGAGACTCTCAAGGCCTCTTCTGCCACCTTGGGAGGTACCAGTATATGCATAATTGGGTCTCGTCTTCTAAATCCCTCACAAACTGCGCTAACAAAATTGATTGGCTGAAGCTGGTCCAGCTTTTCTGGTGGGACCCACTTATTCATAAGATCCTTAAAAGTTGCATTAAATTCCGAGGTTTCCTGTCTTCCTCCCCTTTCTGGGCTCTGAACAGCCTCTGATAATGCTCAGATATAAGCTCTAGGTGGTGTAATTTAGCTGCCTTCACTTTTTCATAATCGTAGGCCTCCTCCCTAGGAAGGACTCAGTATGCCGCTTGAGCTTTCCCTACTAAAAGGGACCCTAATTGGCTTGCCCACTGCAGCCTGTCTAGCCCCATTTGTATTGCCATTCGTTCGAATGATTCGATGTATGCCTCAACATCATCTTTGTTGGTCATCTTGTGCATTCAGAAAGAGGCCCAGTTTCACCGCATCCATTCTTGTTGCTGCAGCGCTTGTTGTTGGACCTCTAGGACTTCGGTAACAACGTGTAACGTCTGACCCAACAACTCAATTTGGGGAGCTAGGTTTACCTCCATCTCTACATTGGCCTCCAGGGTCACCCCTTCCTCGTGCTTCCCAGCCAATGCACCAATTTGTAACCTCACATGCCACTTAGTACGTTTTGCTCTTATGGGTTTTTTGGGCACTGCTGTCCCCTTAGTGATTGACAGCTTGTCGTTCGGTCAGACGTCTTGGATGGTCCCCAAGGGTTCTTGCCTAGCACGTCCTGTTAGAATAAGTTTGTTATAGGGAGGATGGCCCTGCCTTTCCTGGTTCCCTTCTTCAATCTTCCTGTCTGGCTTCCTGCTTTCAGGAACTTTTCAAAATTTTTCCCAGGACCAAAGTCAAACAGAGCAGTCTATAGTTTACTGGGTCATCCCTCTTCCCTTTCTTAAAGATAGGTGTCAGATTGGCCCTCTTCCAGTCATTTGGGACCAGTCCCAAGTTCCATGACTCTTGTAACAGCTTTGCCAGAGGCCGTGCTATGAGCTCAGCCACTTCTTTTAGGACTCTCGGATGCAAGTCATCTGGCCCAGCAGACTTGAAAATGTCCAGATATTCTAAGAGTACCCTCACCTGTTCGGGACTGATTTAATGTTGTCTGTTGTCTTCCCCATATGCCCCGGACATCTGGACAGGTGAACAGCTCCCCTCTTCTCTTCTGCAAACCTAAATAAACTCAGTTCCCTCAGCCTTCCCTCATAAGACATATGCCCAAGCCCCCTAACTATTTTTGTTGCCCCTTACTGGACCTTATCCAATTTGTCCACATCCTTTCTGTAGTG